GACCTTCAGCTCTGTTTGCAATGCTTTATTTCATTTAAAATGAAATGCCGACCCGGCAACGGTGGCTCACAGAGGTTGAGGTGGGCAGATCACTTGAGGCCAGGAGTTTGAGACCAGCCTGGCCAACATAGGGAGACCCCGTCTCTACTAAAAATACAAAAATTAGCCAGGCATGATGGTGAGCGACTATAATACCAGTTACTCGAGAGGCTGCAGCATGAGAATCACTTGAACCCGGGAGGCAGAGGTTGTAAGCAAGCCGAGATTGCACCACCGAACTGCCTGGGTGACAGAGTGAGACTGTCTCAAATAAATAAATTAATTTAATTAAATGTACTGCACTCCAGCCTGGGAGACAGAGCGAGACTGTGGAAACAAGGGAAAGAAAGGAAAGAAAGGAAGGGAGGGAGGGAGGGAAAGACAGGAAGACAGGACAGGATAGGACAGGACAGGACAGGAAAGGAAGAGATCTGAAGCAAACATGTCAATGTTGGCATACGTTAGTTCTAGGTGATTTACATACATGACTGTTTATTGCATTGTTCTTTCTGTTCTGTGATATTTACATTCTTTTCATAAAAATCTCTGAATCAGCAACTGAGGGAAAAAAACTAATTCAGGATTATTTCACCTGTCACTTGTATTTATTTTTTATTTTATTTGCACTGCACTCATACACATTAAACATTTTACTTAACAAAGTTCATTGCTTTGGGTACTTAATTTATGTATGAAATTAATGACCTTTTATTCAAAGCACTACTGTTGTTTGTTAGAGGAAGGACTAATATTACAGAAGGTGATGACTCATTGCAGTGGAATTTTGCTAAAGGCAAGACAAAGCTTTATACCTTTAGGTGGGGATAAATTACAGCTTCATACAAACGCACTTACTAGTAAATCAAAGAGGAAATTAAAGGCAGTAAATCTATGACCCGAATGCAAACTAATGGGATGCTTTTCAGAGATTTTCCAGGAGTACAAGCAAATCCTTTTAGATTTGCAGCAATAAAAAAAACGCTATGTGGTGCTTAACAATCGAACACAGTCTTTGCAATTATTCTTCAGGGGAAAACTTTTGCTGCTTACATAGAATAACCTCAGGGGCAAGGAGTAAAGAAAATATCAAAGACAGATCAAGGAAGCTGATAATTACTTTAAAGATTATTGTTTTGCAGATAGAGGCAAAAGCTACCATGGATATCTCACTATTAATTCACTCAAATGATTAAAAGAAAGAAAACACATCAAGGGTGGCATTTTGCTCCAAATGACTGTGGATTCATATAGTACGAAAGTACTTGTACCCAGGCCCCAGTGATCTTCCCACCTCAGCCTCCAGAGTAGCTAGGACCACAGGCATGTTTCCACCACATTCAGCTATTTCTTTTTTTCTTTGTAGAGAGTGAGTCTCCCTACGTTGCTTAGGCTAGAAACTCATTTTGAATACCATTCTGATTTCTCACAGAGTAAGTTATATTTTGAAATATCTTACTAATTTAAGAAGATTAAGTATTGTGATCTCTTCACATTCTTACCCAGTTTTCTACTGCTTGATTTAAACATTCTTTTCCTAAATGCCTTTCTATTAATTTGCTACATAAGCAGCTCATAAGTTATTTTTTTGTCACTGCTGTTCGACTATTTTAGTCAGATCTTGTCTGGACTCTTCCAAGTCTTATAAAGATAACTAACAGTTGTGTTCTACTTAATATCTACAGTAGAGTCTTCACCAAAGATGATGCTAAGCATCTACAATATTAACTTCCAGCAAAATGGCATCTCTGATTATTTTAGTATTGGGTAACAGTTTGTTTAGGAAAATAACCACATTGTACTCTGTAAGGAATCAAAGTCAAAGTGCCAAGTGCTTTAGGCATTTGTCCTTACAAAAAGCACCGTGCTATCCCCTCCCTAGAGCGAGCCCAGGCTAGAAAGAGTTTACTGTGATACGAAAATATCACAAAGGGTCCAGTGTGACCCATAACATTTCTAGTGCAGATCAAAACTAAGTTATATAGTTTTTCTTTTGGGAAGGCGGCAAGGCAGATGAGAAAAAAAGTGAGCTAGAGAGTAAAAATGATCTGGATTTAACTTCTGAGTTCTGCCTAACTTTGGGCAAATTACTTAACCTTTGAAAATATCAGAATTCTCACTGGGTACATGTAAACATGTATGTGAAAATAACATACATAATGTACCCTAGCAGACATCTAGTCAATATTAATTTCCTTCTGTTAGATTATCAGGTTATAATGGAATCTTTTAACACTATCTTTAAAATACTCAAAAAGACGCCGGGCGCAGTGGCTCATGCCTGTAATCCCAGCGCTTTGGGAGGCTGAAGCGGGTGGATCACTAGAGGTCAGGAGTACAAGACCAGCCTGGCCAACATAGCAAAACCCTGTCTCTACTAAAAATGCAAAAATGAGCCACGTGTGGTGGCATGTGCTCACAATACCAGCATTCTGGGAGGCTGAAGGAGGGCATGTAATTTGAGGCCAAGAGTTCGAGACTAGCCTGGCCAACATGGTAAAACCCCGTCTCTAGTAAAAATACAAAAGAATAGCTGGGCATAGTGGTATGTGCCTGTAATCCCAGCTACTCAGGAGGCTGAGGCAGGAGAATTGCCTGAACCCAGGAGGTGGAGGTTGCAGTGAGCCAAGATTGTGCCACTGCACTCCAGCCTGGGCAAGAGTGAGACTATCTCAAAACCAAAACCAAAACCAAAACAAAACAAAACACCTCAAAAAGAGCAATGGCTATCACTGTGTCTCAGTTCACCTTTAACCATTTCTGGGTTTTTTTTTTTTTTTTTTTTTCCATTCTTATGTATATACCCAATTCATTTCTCTATCTATCATGCCTGGTATCTCCTTACTTTGGGGCCCCCTGAATTATATAATCATAGAGTTTATGGACATCCAAAATATTATTCAGGCTTCTAAGAAGAGCCCTTTCTAAATAATCTGAAAACTATGACCTACTTTATTTCTAAGAACCTCTCAAGGAGACTGACTGTCTATCTTCTTTCTGTCTGTCTGTCTGTCTGTCTGTCTGTCTGTCTATCTATCTACCTACCTACCTACCTACCTACCCACCCACCTACCTGCCTACCTACCTACCTACCTACATACGTACCTATTTTGAGGCAGGGTCTTGCTATGGTGCCCATTCTGGTCTCAAACTCCTGGGCTCAAGAAATCACACTGCCTCAACCTCCTGAGTAGCTGGGATTATAGATGCACACCATCATGCAGGGATAAAAGAGACATTTAATCAGCACTGGTAACTCATTATGAGGCAGGAGAACAAGGTCTGGAGGCAGGGAACCTAAGGCCGATTCATGCTGACTTTCTAGAACTAAATCAAAAGGAAAACCCCGACTTTCCATGCCCAAGTAGCAAAAGGACCAGTGGCTACTCCCTTTGTACTCTCCCCCCACCCTTTTTCTGCATGGCAGACTAAAAATTGAAAGTACTGGGCGCGGTGGCTCATGGCTGTAATCCCAGCACTTTGGGGGGCTGAGGCAGGTGGATCACGAGGTCAGGAGATCGACACCATCCTGTGAATGGTGAAACCACATCTCTACTAAAAATACAAAATAATAGCCGGGCATGGTGGCAGGTGCCTGTAGTCCCAGCTACTCAGGAGGCTGAGGCGGGAGAATGGCGTAAACCCTGGAGGCGGAGCTTGCAGTGAGCCGAGATCGCGCCACTGCACTCCAGCCTGGGCAACAGAGCGAGACGCCGTCTCAAAAAAAAAAAAAAAAAAAAAAAATTGAAAGTACCTCTGATCGTTCCCCTCCCACAACCAATCAGGATGGTCGGGGGCCAAATCTTCATTTGCACAGGAGTATAACTTTGTAACTTCACTTCAGTCTCTGATTGGTTGTGTGTTTATGTAGGGTGTAGCTTTGCTTCAGCCTCTGACTGGTATCCTCCCACAACCAAACAGATTGATCGTGGGCCATTACTTCATTTACACAGAGTGTATACCAAGTAACCAGTAGAAAACCTCTAGAGGGTACTTAAACCTCAGAAAAATCTGTAATGGGCTCTTGAGCTGCTTGCTCGGGCCTGCTCCCACCCTGTGGATTGTACTTTCATTTTGAATAAATCCCTGCTTTTGTTGCTTCATTCTTTCCTTGGTTTGTACGTTTTGTCCAATTTTTTGTTCAAGACGCCAAGAAGCTGGATGCCATTCACCGATAACAATTATACAAATTCAGATTTCTACTCTATCTAAATAATACAATTAAGTTGCTTTTCATCTTTACATTGTCTGCAAGAATGACAAATTACAGGCCTACCATACAACATTCCTTGAAATATGAAAACTGTAATCAGGCTCTTACCATCAGGCTCCTCTTAGGCCAATAAAGTAGTATCACTGTTTATCAAAGCTTCTATGTATTAATACAAATGCACAACACAGTTTAATAGTAGGAAACTAAAATGGGCTTTTAGGATCTACTGTATAAACTTATTAGCTATGGAAACTCTGGGCAAGTAACTTGCTTCTCTGAGCTTCTGCTTCCAGATCTTTAAAATGAGGACAATATCACATTTCTTTTCTTTTCTTTTCTTTTTTTTTTTTGAGACGGAGTCTCACTCTGTCGCCCAGGCTGGAGTGCAGTGGTGTGATCACACAACCTCCACCTCCTGGATTCAAGCAATTCTCCTGCCTCAGCCTCCCAAGTAGCTGGGATTACAGGCATGCGCCACCACACCCGGCTAATTTTGTATTTTCAGTAGAGACGGGGTTTCACCATGTTTGTCAGGCTGGTCTTAAACTCCTGACCTCAGGAGATCCACCCGCCTCAGCCTCCCAAAGTGCTGGGATTACAGGTGTGAGCCACTGCACCCGGCCTCATATTTCTTATAAAATCACTTAAAGAATAAATGAAATAAGGTACACATTCAAAATACAGTCACTACCTTCATCTTAATAAAGTAAAAACAAGGCTAAAGAGAAAATGAGGTGGAAAAAACACATACCATGTTAACCGCATCTTGATCAAAAGGATTCCACTCTATATTCTGAGGATAATGGGCGAGAACTTTGGATTTGAATGTTCTTCTCAAAGGACTCTGGTCAAAATTTTCACCTACAACAAATAATTAATACATAGTTAATATTTAGAACTTTTCCAAAAGCATGTCATAGTTTTATATTTATTTTATAGACCTACTACTGACTGATAATGTTGAGATCTGATTCAATTTCTGCCTCTAACCATCTGACTTGTAAAATCCCAGTGGACAACTAAAAAACTTAACAACAGAGCAGCATTTAAAACTTCAGAATCTGAATTTTAAAATCCTGGTCACTCAACTGATACTAAAAATCAAAATATGGTAGTATAATCATTGCTGTAACCTAATTATGGTCCACATTTCAGTGTGTGGTAATAAAAAAACTATATGAAAACATTTACTTCAGAAAATAAATGTCTTGTATTAAATGAATCATATGTCTTATGATCCTAAAATTTTATACACACTTAGACCCCCATGCTACAGTGCTCAAAGGAGGCAATTTGGCTTGAGTTTCCACAAAAATCTCTGAGAAATGTGACTGCATATCCAGGATGTTAAGTAACAAAACTAACAGAATTACAAACATCATTGCTGAGTCATCCTGTTTAGTAGACAGAACACATTAAACATACTAACCTTTTAAAATAAATGAGCTATCCTAAGTTAAATTCATTATCTGGCAAAATTCTGGAAAGATAAAAGTGGCTACATTTTAATTACATATAAGAAAATTCAGGCCAGGCACAGTAGCTCACGTTTGTAATCCCAGAACTTTGGGAGGCTGAGGTAGGAGGATTGCTTGAGCCCAGGAATTTGAAACCAGCCTGGGCAACATGGTGAGACACTGTTTCTTTTCTTTTTTTTAAAAAAAATAAATTTTTGAAAAGTAAAAAATTGAAAATTCAATAATAGCTATCAGATTAGTTTTTTTAACCTCCTCAACCAGAGTAATTCCCTTAAGATCTATTATCCCTAAATGTTTCATGAAATATTTTAAGATAGATGGATCTGAAATTCTCGATGTCAAAAATCTGGGATCAAGGAACTAGAAGACCTTGCGGCAATTTTATTGTGTTCTGTGTTTTCCCACTTTTAGAGTTCTAATTAAGTATAAAATACTAGCTGTTACAGCAAAAGATAAATGTCACTTACCAGTATTTATACTATTAAAAATATCACAAAGCAATTTGATTTATGAGTTGTATTTGACTTCCAGTTAGACTCAGTTTCTATTTTGGGTAAAAATATGAAAAAAAAAAAGAAAAAAGAAAAAAGAAAAAACACCTTGGAATGCAAAACAGATCATAGAAGGAAGAAAAAGTTGCACTCAAAAATCTTGCTGGAGACTACAATATATAAAATACACAGGAACTTTTTTGAACGAGGACACATAATTTAAGTATTTGCTGAGGCAACTAAACTACTATTTCTAATTGAAGTCCTTGGCTAATGATTATTATTTTATTTAGATTCCTCTGACTTATTTAGGCAAACATTTCATCTCTGTATTTTTCTACTCTATACTTCCATCTTCTAAGAGTTGAAAGCACTCATTTCTAGAAGAGAAATTATCAAAGATATCCCTAAGTAGAGTTTATCAATTTTTGCACCATGCTTCTAGAGTATGTAAACATCAAAAAGTCAGCAGAGGAATGTGAAACTGTCCATGAGAGTCAATGTGGCCAAAGAACAGATTCAGGGCTCAGAACTGATTTCAGGAAGAGTCCATGATGTTTTTAAGCTGATGCTACATTTTCCTGTGAACACTAAGAAATTTTAAATTATTCACTTCTTCAGTAAAAAAGTTACTTGGCCAGAACATGGTGGCTCATGCCTGTAATCCCAGCACTTTGGGAGGCTGAGGTGGGCAGATCACTTGAGCCCAGGAATTTGAGACCAGCCTGGGCAACACAGTGAAACCTCACCTCGAAAGAAAGTAAGGGGGAGGGTGGAGGCTGGAGGGTGAGAAGGCAGGAAGGAAGGCAGGAAGGAAGAAAGGAAGGAAGGAAGGCAGGAAGGGAGGGAGGGAGGGAGGGAGGGAGGACAGATGGAGGGAGGGAAGGAGGACAGATAGAGGGAGGGAGGACAGAGGGAGGGAGGACAGAGAGAGGGAGGGAGGGAGGGAGGACAGAGGGAGGGAGGAAGAGAAGGGAAAAAGGAGAAAGAGAGAGAGTAAACAAAGGAAAAGAAAAGAAAGATTTTTAAAAGTTACTTTTCATTTACTTTAGAGAAAAAAACAAACAAAATTCTTCCTAGTTATAAAGTCTATGCTGCTGATTGTGCACTGACAAAGCAACAGCGTATCTTCATGGTATACAGCCATCGAGAAACCCTCTCCTTCACCTACCCTCTAACACCAGAAATACTTGCTTTTATTATCCATAAATGTAAATAAAATATGAAATACTGCAGAAGCAGAAGAAACATGACATAACCTATCATATAACTCCTTGTAACACTTACCTTTTAATTCAGTTCTGCCTGTGTATAGTTAAAATAACATTATCTTCATTCATGTATCAAGTTAGTAATGGAACAGGAGATATATCAGAAAAGTCATGAAAGTGCCATTCTCAATATAATTGTTCTATTAACTAAGGAACATTGCACCTTCTGAGGCACAAAGAATCCAGGAGAAGGAAACCACTTCCAGAAAGAAATAATGTTACAAAAACAAAAAAAGCCACAAAACAGTAACAAATGTAACAAAAGAAAAGCAAAACCACCACCACTCCACTTACTAGATTGCTTTAAAAAGGGATAACAGGAAAGATCATTGCTATATATACACAGCTGTCTTGGCAAATATGATTTGGAAGGATATTAGAGGAAGAACCAATTATTTCAAAATTCTGGTATCACTGTTAAGAATTTAGAAATGGTCCGGGCACAGGGGCTCATGCCTGTAATCCTAGCACTTTGGGAGGCTGAGGCGGGTGAATCACTTGAGGTCAGGAGTTCGAGACCAGCCTAGCCAATGCGCCGAAATCCTGTCTCTACTAAAAATACAAAAATTAGCCAAGCATAGTGGCATGCAACTGTAACCCCAGCTACTCAGGAGGCTGAGGCAGGATTATCAGTTGAATCCGGGAGGTGGGGGTTGCAGTGAGCCAAGATCACACCACTGCATTCCAGCCTGGGTGACACAGTGAGACTCCATCCCCACAAAAAAAAAGAATTTAGAAATGACTGGATGTAGCTATTCCTACCAGCACCAGCCAAAATAAGAGAATCTTGGTGATGACTTTTGGGGATGAGAGATGGGGGAACAACCTATACTTCTCATTTTAAACACATGTTTCATAAAGTTCTAACTTAGAATTTGCTGCTGGGGAAAAAAACAAAAAAACAAAAAAACACACACACACAGGAGAATAACTAAGTCTAAGAATTTGGATTCCCAGGAAATGAAAATTACATAAGCATCCTGTACTTAAAATTTACCTTTTAAATATTATTTTAAAACAAACAAGGACTATAAATTTGTACAACTACCACAGCTACATATCAACTTAACTCCAAGTAATACTGCCAAATAACCTCCTACTAAATTGAAGCTTTTCCTCCTAAGAAAGTAGGAAATATCTGCCAAGAGAGCTTAAAGGCTACTGAATACATGTTTTCAAGGCTTGAAGCAAATGAGGTCTTTATGAAAATTAAGATGCAGATGAGAGAAGAGAAACATAAAATCACATCTGTAAGTCTGACCAAGCAAAAACTGAATAAAGAAACATTTACAATGGGCTTGGGGTCACTTAAAACAATGATTTATAACAGCCCATCCTTGTTTTTAATTTTATTTTTACCTGAAGTCGTATTTGCAGCATCTTGGCTCTTGCCATGACGATCTGCTTCTAGCCATTGGTACAAAACTACATAATGTAACAGAAACAAAAAAGCTTTATGAACAAATAAAAACAAACAAAAAGCAAAAATGACTTTGAAGAATGGAAAATGAGAATAAATAATTAACCAAAAGCAGTTAAACAGGAGACATTAACATCAGAGTGTAGCTTAACACCAATGGAATGTAGCTGATAAGGGGTTAGTAATGAAAGCAAAGAGAACAGGTAATTTTAACAAAATAAGTGAAATGCTATTAAATATCTGTTAACACATTCTCTTCTTAATGCTTATTTAAAGAGGAATATTAGGAGAAAGCTAATGCTTCTATAGTCAGTTATCACACAAGCTGAATATCCCTTATCCAAAATGCTTAGGACCAAGAAGGGTTTTGGATTTCTGATTGTATCAGATTTTGAAACATTTGCATTATATTTATAGGTTGAGCATCCTTGATTAGAAAATCGGAATAATGGCACTCAAAAAGATCAAATTTTTGAGCATTTTAGATCTCAGATTTTTGGATTAGGAATGCTCAACATAAAAAGTATGACAGTAAGACTAAATGACCAACTTTAAAAATTACATCCTGGTTGGGCATGTTGGCTCACAACTGTAATCTCAGTACTTTGGGAAGCTGAGGCAGGTGGATTGCTTGAGGTCAGGAGTTCGAGACCAGCCTGATCAACATGGTGAAACCTCATCTCTACTAAAAATACAAAAATTAGCTGGGCATGGTAGTGGGTGCCCATAATCCCTGCTACTCAGGAAGGCCAGGCAGGAGGATTACTTGAACCCAAGAGGCAGAAGTTGTAGTGAGCTGAGATCATGCCACTTGCACTCCAGCCTGGGTGACGGTGAGACTGTCTCAAAAAAAAAAAAAAAAAAAATTACATCCCAACCACTGCATATTGACTAGAATGGCTTAAGTCCCAAAAGCTGACTCTACCAAATATTGACAAGGATATAAAGTGTCAGTAATTCTCATTCACTGCTGATGAGAATGTAAAATTGTACGGCTTGGCAATTCCTTACAAAGTTAAACAGTCTTATCACATAATCCCACAACTCCAGTCTAATCATGAGAAAAACATCAAATTCCAAGAGCAGTAACCTATAGTATATCTGTTAAGTACTCATCAAAACTATCAAGGACAACAAAAGCAATGAAAGTCTGAGATTCTGTCATAGCCAAAAGGAGCCTAAGTAGACATGACAATTTATGTGGATCGGATACTTCAACAGAAAAAAGACTGATATGGTTTGGCTGTGTCCTCATCCAAATCTCATCTTGAATTGTAGTTCCCATAATCCCCACACATCGTGGGAGGGACCCAGTGAGAAGTAATTGCATCATGGGGGTGGTTGTTCTTGGGACAGTGAGTTCTCAAAAAATCTGATGGTTTTATAAGGGGCTTTCCGCCACTTCACTCTGCACTTCTCCTTGCTGCTGCCATATGAAGAAGGATGTGTTTCCTTCCCCTTCCACCACAATTGTAAGTTTCCTGAGGTCTCCCCAGCCCTATGGAACTGTGAGTCAATTCAACCTCTTTCTTTTATAAATTGCCCAGTCTCAAGTAAGTATATCTTTATCAGCAGCATAAGAACAGACTAATACAAGAACATTAAGTAAAAACTAAAGAAATCTAAATAGAGGCCAGGTGCAATGGCTCACGTCTGTAATCCCAACACTTTGGGAGGCCGAGGCTGATGGATCACCTGAGGTCAGGAGTTCAAGACCAGCCTGGCCAACATGGCAAAACCCTATCTCCACTAAAAATACAAAATTAGCCAGGCATGGTGGTGCATGCCTGTAGTCCCAGCTACTTGGGAGGCTGAGGCAGGAGAATCGCCTGAACCCAGGAGGCGGAGGTTGCAGTGAGCCGAGATCGCGCCATTGCACTCCAGCTTGGGCGACAAGAGCGAAACTCCATCTCAAAAAAAAAAAAAAGAAAAAGAAAAGAAAAGAAAAAAAGAAAAAAAGAAATCTAAATAGAGTGTAGACTTTAGTCAGCAATAATGTATCAATATTTAATCAATACTTATTCACTAATTATAACTAATGTACCATACTATTACAAGAGGTTAATGATAGGTGAAATTGTGTGTGTGGAGTGAGGCAAGTATATAGGAACTCTATTCTTAATTTTTCTGTAAATATAAAAACAACTTTATTTTAGAAATTACATTCCAATAAAGTAAAAACACCAGCAACATTATATCCAATCTTATAAGTAATCTACCTTTTATAAATCATGTTTATCAATGCAAACATAAGCTGAAATTTGCTTTATACTGATATCCCATTTAATCAATAATATTCCTAAGCATAATTATGAAATGTCAACTCTTGGAGGAAAGTTTATTACTGTAATGACACACGCTGCAACTTAGCAGCTTTGAAGGGTGTTAAAACTTCTGAATGTCTTTTATTGTACTCAGATGTCTACAACTTTCAGACATCTTTAAAGAGATGTCAGAGTCTTTCTTTTAAATAGTCAGTAATGATAATGTAGGGTACCAATGGCCAAGAGAGCTTGCTATCCACACCCCCAACGTTTGATGATCCAAGGACAGCAACAAATACTAAGCTTCTATGCTGGGGGGCTACTTACCCACAGATACTGTGAGAATTGAATATCCCAAACAAGGTTTACAGAAACTTTTCATGCTCTCCCCTCAACAAAAACAACAACAAAGGGCTGAGAAAGCTGCCTACAGAGCTCCTGAACTGGAATAAAAAAGGAACCGATTTATTACAAATATCTAAGAGAATCCTGAAATCCTCAAAGTGGTTACTTAGATCTCTGAGGAACAGCCAGGGCTGTGAACTGACGTCCATGGTCATAGATAGATAGCTGAAAGACCTCTGAGCAGACAAACATCCAAGTCCTTGGTTAAGGGTGCCCCAGAGGGCACAGAAGTCAGCACCCTCCTCCAGAGACACACTTCTGGGAGGCAAACAATTGTTACAAATGGGACTAGCATGAAAGAATTCAAGAAGTAGACCTCAATAATTAAATATATACTACAGGTATTTCTCTTCTCTTTAGTTTACAGGGATAACAGCTACTCATTAGAGGAGGAGAGAGGGGAATTATACCATGACACAAAAATCTCCCCATTAGGAAAAGCAAGCATGAGCTTTACAACTGACAGTGAAGGCTGGGTGCAGTGGCTCACGCCTGTAATCCTAGCACTTTGGGAGGTGGAGGTGGGCAGATCGCTTGAGTTCAGGAGTTTGAGAACAGCCTAGGCAACATGGTAAAACCCTGTCTCTACAAAAACCATAAAAATTAGCTGGGCATGGTGGCAATCACCTGTAGTCCCGGCTACTCAGAAGGCTGAGGTAGCAGGCTGGCTTGAACCCAGGAAGTGGAGGCTGTAGTGAGCTGTGACCCACTCCAGCCTGCAACAGGGCCAAACTCTGCGTCAAAACAAACAATTGACACTGAAAATCACTTCCACAAAATGAGATGCAAAGTAGGGAAACAAATCCATTAACTGCTCTAACAATTTTGACCAGCTCCTATCTTAAGCCTAGATTTTCCCCTGATTAAGGTAGAAACTCTTGGCTATGTTCAGGTTATCACTAGGAATATTTACCAATAGTTCCAATTACTTCATATAGCCCTCGTTTCTGGTTTTACTAGAGAAGTTTATCATGTTTGCTTTCATGTTTCATTGATAAAATCATAGTCTGTTTCTAACCAGAGACTCTCCACAAAACAAAGCTAAGTCTCACACTATTTCCCTCTCTTCCTGTCCTGACAGGTAACCCCAGAAGCCTAGTTTTAAAGAAAATCATTAATAAAATGAGACATGAAAGCTATTCCAGGTCACTTTAACCAGTTATATAAAGAACGACACATAAGCAAAAATCATTTTAATAGATTTACATATTCAAATATTTCACCCTTGCCTCTAGATTACCAAAGTCCAATTAACTTCAGTTTAAATAATTCAGAGAATTTCCAGTGAAATAAGTGCATTTGATTCAAGAACGCTATAATGTAAATCACCATTTATATAAAGTTTGGACTTTAAAGTCTACTTTATAGGACATATATTTTAAAAGATAATGTATAATTTAAAAAGAAGTGTGACTAATTTTTTAACTTAACATACTAGAATGTACATGGGCAGCTGTGGAAATACTGAACTCCCAAAATTTCTCACTCTCCATAAAATACATGAAATATATCATAGCACAAAAGGTCTGCTACTATGAATGTAGATGATGTTAGAATGCCAAGAACACATCTCTCTTCACTATAGAAACATGAGATCTGGCCTTCCGGTTGCTTCACGCTTCCTCTCAGTTGGCAGTGGAAATAGGGACCCCATCCCCAGCTCAAAGCTACTGGCAGAGAGTTCTGTAGCATGTTTGTGGGGTTTTAAGTGAAGAGGAAATTTTGAGATTTATGAACCTTGGGGGCTATTTTTCAGCCTGATCATCACGGTTAAATATTTCTTCACTCACTTTCCTCCCTAAACCTTCTCACTAGGAGCGCCCCAGTTCCCTCCTGCACTATTCACTTCCTTCATAGCCTGTTTGTAACCAGAGACTTTCTCCAAAAACAAAGCTAAGCCTCACACTATTTCCCTCTCTTCCTGCCCTGACAGGTAACCCCAGGAGCCTAGAAGTCTTAAAGAAAATCTGCTTCTGGGTGGGAGTCAAATGACTAGTTCTTGCCAGTGAAATGTGGGCAGCAATGACATCATTTCCAGGTCAAGGCACACAATCTATATTTCCCCACCCATCTATCAGCTAAACGCAAAGGAGGCCTTAAAAGATGGAAAGTTCCCAAAGTGGAAGAAAGTTGAGTCACTAAATGTCTCTGTGAAGTAGAGGGCCTCCCACCTTGGCCTACATTACACTAAACGTGAATGAGAAAAACTTGTATTGCCTCATGCCACTGAAGCATTATGGGGTTGTTATTACAGCAGTTAGCTATTTATGTGTTTATTAGCCTGAGTTTTTATTTGTGTTAGTTTTGACCTTCTGTCTATAATACTAACCCCTGAC